CCCCCCCCCCCCCCCCAACGTCCTTTGAATAATTTCTGATATATTATTCTCATGTTTAAGAACTAGTTTACACTAAGACTAGGTCGGGTCAAACTAAAATCTCATTGCTGGACTTCGCTACACGGATAAACAAAAAATATTAAAGCAAAAACATAAATGTAGTGCTTGTTAAGTTTGTAGTACTTCATGACTTACTTGAATCGCCGTCCAGGAGGAATAAAGAGTAGTACCAATCTTTCCCAGAATTGATTACCGGGGAGGCTATCAGTTGCCATGTAGGCAAAGTACCCCCAAAGGACTGAGGTTGGTATCCTCTTTATCACAGGCATGGCAAATACTGCACACCCTACAAGTAGGGACTGCAGTAAGTTGCTAAATCTTTGTTCATTAACTCTCACAGGCAAATGTGCATCGATGTGTTCAGCAGGGTCAAAGTTCTTATTCTGAGCTTCTCCATCATCATCATCATTCATCACAGCATCCTTCAAACTTTTCAGCTCTTTGTCCACTGTAGGCTACAGAGAATGACATAAGAATCTGTGAAAAACATATACTCCCAACATCCCAAAACAGTTGTGGTTTCTGAAATGCACTCTTACTAAGGAGTCTTGCAAAAAAGACTCTTCTCACCTTCTTCAAGTTATTCATTAAATGCATTTTAATTCTCTTTAAGGTATAAAAGAATTTAATGGAGTAGTTAAGATGGCCAAAAGATAAGTGAATTATAAAGCACAACAATTTTGATACTTTTATTTTGTTGCTAAAATGACAAGTTTTTGGGAGAGAGGGAGTACAAGTTATGCTTAAAGATATGGTAGCATATCTTGACACCCATAACTTACAGTCGTAGATGCATCCATCTCAATGAATACATCATGCATTCTCCCATAAATCTCTGATTTGCTTGCTTGCTTTTCCATGCCTTCTTGTGCACTCTTCACCATTTTCTTTCGAAGTAGCTATGAATCAAGTACGAAAGAGATTCAATTTTACCTATCATTGCCACATGAACAAGTGGCGGAATAGAAAAAATGCTAAAACTCATTTCCCACCAGCTTTTTAAGGGTAGCAAGACTCCTTGTATGCATTGGTGATTGAGGAAGAACTCCATTTGAAGGTGGAAGTCCAAGTAAGCCACAAAACAAAGTCTACAAAAAGTTAACATTTCTCAAGTAAGAACAAGTGCATCATATATCCGCTTCAAATTACAAACTGTGAGACACATAATACATTTATATCATACCATAATTCCAAGCAAAAAGATATCATAGTGGTACGAGGATGGTTTTTTAAGATTGAACTCCTTCTGTTGGGCCATTTGTGAAGCTACACTATGATCAAAAAAGTATAGTCCTGCAATCATAATCGCCGGAATAAAGGCAGCAAAGATGTAACCAACTGGGACTCTTGCCATATCCTGAAAATTAAAGTAAAAAATTCAGTTTATAAATGTTTACCTTTTCATATGTAAGCTTCAGAGAAAATTGGATACATAGCCTGCTTATCAATTTTAAAATACTTGTGTTTAGCCAACCCTAGAATATCTACTGTGGGGTAACAACCACTCTGTAATTGCTTGGGCCTTGGAGAAAAGAGATGAGGAGTGCTTAAAGGCAACCAAGACAGTGAAAATTGAGATAAAATTGAGAATACCTTGACTACTGTCCAATGGTACAGTGATGAAGAATCCCAAGGGAGAGGAGAAAATAGCCTTCGAGGAATACCAGATGCAATTTGTCCGGGTACACCATAAGACACTGCTGTCCACAACACAACCATGAGAGGAACCCCATAGTCTGCAATAAAACTTCGCAACCATCCTGTTTGTAGAGGCCGGTAACATAACATTATAACACGCCACAACACGATATAAGTTGGCCAGACTATCTTATTCAAGAGCTCTGATCACATACCTGTACCATAAGGCCAAGACCTCGCTTGTCTACTTTTAAGTGCAGTTAATAGTAATCCAAATGAGAATATTATTGCCAATAGCCCATTTGTATAGAGCCAATGGAACTTGTACTTCTCCAATGTGGGATCTTCACCTTTAGGAATTCGAAATTCACTGAATAATCCCTGGCATTGAAGAATATACACAACTATGACATCCATTTCACAGGATACATCTCTTCTTTTTTAATCACAAAAGTATGGGAGGAGATATAAAACCTTTATTGCCTCTTGGTAAAATAGAACTGTAATCAACATGCCAAAAAGTTCCCCAGCAATCCTTGTAAACTTGTTGATGATTATACAAGCATTAAATATAGCCAGAAGAAACAGCAAGACAGCTGTCCAGACACAAACCCTGTAACACAGTATAGAAAAACTCCACTTGATAAGTAAATGTAGAACACAGGAGATCTTAATCTCCAAGGAAACAATATACAAAGTATTAAGTTACCATCCTGCCCAAGCTACAAAGAGTTCCTTCCCAATGTCTTGCCTGCTACTAGCAAAACCATAGAGATAGGTATACATTATGATCGTAGGCTCTGCAACTCCCAAAATCATCAGAGGCTGCCCGCCAAAAATGGAATGAACAATTCCACAAATTGCAGTTGATGCAAGAGTTTCAACCGTGGTTAAGCTTCTCTCTGTTATACAACCCACCATATCATGGTACCATTATAAATTACGGGGTAATACGTACTCATAATAAAGGCCACATAGAAAATATTAAAATCAAAATATGTGTACAGCCATGGGGAAACTAACAGACCTGTCTCCCTGCTCAACTGCTCACCAAAAGCAATGACCGGAAGGGCGGAAGCAAAGAAAATGTAAGTTGTTGGAGCCAGTATCCTAAAATCGATTAAAATCCAGTATTATTAGCAATCCTTACTTACCTATAGGTTTTCTACGCTACACTATTCTATATCAATTTCAATATATCATAATACCTCACGCCAGAGCTAAACGCGTCCATCCAGTCATCTTTGTAACATTTTCTCCTTCCCCTAAAATCCTCCACAACTCCTTTGAAAGGAGTTGGTAAGTAGTCCATGGACAGATCTTCCGAACACGAAATTAACCAAAATTATCATTCCAGACACATACGGAGTACGGATTAAGTTGCTCTTAGAATAAAACGATCATTCACTGAATTCTTCTTTGATTATGCATATTAATGATTAAACAGAGTCAATGCTAAATTGAAACCGCTTTCCTCAATAACACACGCATCAGTATTTCAGCATTTGCATCAATAGTCAAAAGTTAAAGTGCAGAAAGCCAGAACAATCGGCTTCAATCAATGAATCCTATCATAAAATCTGGAAATTTCAGTAAACCTGCTTAATTCGAACTAACAAAAACAAAAAAAAAACGAAAATCATCCGCGCATTCACACATTAAGAACAGCAAAATCAACGCATCACATATCATACATTTTGATCTCCAAAATCAAACGCACACAGCATTTCACTATTTTCTCGAGTAAATGCTCCACGCGTTACATATGCACAAACATGTAAACGCACACAGCATTTCACTATTTTCTCGAGTAAATGCTCCACGCGTTACATATGCACAAACATGTAAACGCACTCTACGCAACGCACACATGCACGAGTGTTGGGTGTACGTACATTACGGCGTCCGCCAGTGCGGCGCGACGGCGGGGAGGAGGAAGGGGAAGGAGGCCGCGATGAGAGATGCGGCGGTCGCGGCGGCGGTGACGGAGGTGCTTATTGTTGTGCGGCGAGAGAAAAGCGGAGAAGGTGGAGAGTGCGACGGTGGATGAATGGCGCCGCGACAACTGGAGAAGAGGGGGGAGTGCTGAGCCTCTCTAACTACTTATATATCAGTTGCCGTGGGACACGCTACTGACTGTAAGACCATTTTGTTACGGGGAAAAATTTAAAAAAAGTTTTGGGCCCATGACACGTTTGCCTTTCAGCTTTTTAAGTTTAAACCCTTGGTTTTAGTCTTTGACGAGATGATTCAAATAGTCTCCCTTTGAAGAATGTGTCAAATTTTATTTGTCTTAAAATTATTTTTTTTATAAATTAGTATAAAATATAAAAACAAAAAATACATATTTTAAAAAAGCAATAAAATTAAAATAAAATGTTTCATTTTTTCAAAATAATCAGTTAAAACATACAAATAAATAAAAATTATGAACACACTACTAAACTAGATTATTTGCTGAGATGCCATTTTTAGAAGGGAAGAGAATAAGATTATACAACAAATTTTGTGAGATAGCAATTTATTTTCATATTTGAATTAAAAATTTGGAGTACTTTTTTTTGTCATATCACATTTATAAATCTATTTTTCAGTTCATCACCCTGCATTAATTTACTTTTTTCTAATTATATTTCTTTTTTTGAGCTTTTTCTTTATTTTTTCAGTTTCTTTTCCATATTTTAAGCTTTTTCCGTCCAATATTTTTGCACTCGCACGGTCAGTCCATTCATAAAATAATATAATCATGTCGCCCCTTGTTTTGTCTAATTTTTTGAGTTGTTTGTAAATTTTATTAAAAACAACTATGATCTAGTAAAACATCGACTTCGTAAATTAAAACGTGAAAAATATTTTAGAACGGAGCGAGTAATATGTTTATTGAAAACACATAATCAATTCCAGACAGAGGCCAACTCAAACTGAACATTGGTACACAGGATGTGGGAAACGAGATTGGGTGTGGCGCTATTCTTCGGTGCCACCGCAGCCGATTTATTGACGGTTGTTGGCGGCGTGTCTTGATAAAGGTTTCTAGAGAATATTTATGGAGATTGCTCACTGGAGTATTTACAAGACGTTGCAGGCTAAGACTACTCACAACGGTATTCTTGCTCACCTCTTCTATGGGATCATCACTATCCGATAGAATTTAGAATGAGGTATGAATCAGGATCACTGGACTGAGTCACAAGACATTTGAGTTGAACCATATTAAAAGATTGAATCAAATCAATCACGTAGTTCAACTTAAGAGCTTGTATACCAATTTCTTTTCACTTGATGTTTCGATGTAGGATACTCTTTAACTCTCCTCTTTAACACTCCTCTTAAGTGAATTGAACAACCAAACTATTTTGAATCTAATCGATTGATCACTTGCAAATAGACTCTCCCCAGGAAATGAACGGATCGAAAGCGTCAATACCTAAAGAATCATGAATCGGTGGGCATGAACTTCTAGAGGAACAACTGGGTTATATGTGCCACAAGCTATTTTCCATACAGACAACTGGGCTAAAGACAAATGAACCGCTAGGAATGAACTTTTAAACTGACATCTTAATAAATGAAGTGGGCTAAAAACTACTCTGATACCATGATAGAATTTAGAATGGGATAGAGATCACTAGATTGGGTCATAAGGCTCATGCGTTGAACTGTATTAAAAGATTGAATATAATCAATTATTTAGTTTAATTCAAGAATTTATATACCGATTTGTTTTCTCTTTTAGTTCTAATATGGGATATTCTTTGACATTATATTAATGGCTTAGGACTCACAATTTGGGTATATTCAGAGCGAGGTTAACTATGCGGCCACTCATATTGTGTACTTCAGTTACCACCATAGACGTCTCTTTGTTAGTAAGAAGTTGGATAAGCTCTGCTACTCTCTTGTCGGCATCTTGAAATTTGATGATATTAGGTATCCTAATGTATTTTTGTTTCAGGGACGCAATTTGGTCCTCCCCTTATATCTCTTTTTTTTTCAATCTATATACTTTCTTCGTCCCTGGGTATTTGTCTACTTTTGACTTTTTCCGGTCAATATTGGTAAACTTTGACCTCAAATTAAATAAAAATGATATTAGATACTGATACAAAAAGAGTTTTCTTTGATTTATTATATCAAATATTTGCAAAATATTAATTTATTTCATTAAAATACAATATATATATTTTTTAATTATAAGTCAAAGGTTGAAAACAGTTGACCAAAAAAATTAAAACTGAACAAATACTCAAGGACGGAGGTAATACTTGGTAAGGGCTCCCCACTCTTTTCCCACCCGTTTTGGTGGTTTCTATTGCGATTTTAAAAAAGAAATACATCCTCTTTGGAAATAAATTAAAACATGAATGCCAATATTTGGTTCTAAGAAAAAACATAATCATTTCGAGATTATATCTGTTCTAGGTATAATCGATTATTAGTCTTAATAACTTTGGGTATAATTGATTACATGTATTATCGATTTCGAGTATCATCCATTTTAAGTATTACGGAATATCTGTTTTGGGTCTAATTAGTTCAGATCTAATTGATTTCAGATTCAAATCAGACATCGATATATTTAGTTCAATTTTGGTACGATTCAATTCTGATCATTTAAGGTATTCTGTTATACATAGAATCTTCTCTTTTTAGATTTTTTTTTCAGTTTTGGGTTTGGATCATTCATTTTGGGTAAGCGGTTACATTTATTTTTTGAAATATCGTCTCGTCTCGAGAACATAAATGCCCTTAAAAATTGGGGCCACAAAAGAAGCTCGCATAGTGGCACAATCTAGAGTCACAAACTTATTAGTCACAAATTACACAATAAGCTAGCTATCTGTGTATTTAATTTTTTATTTTTTAATTATTTAAAATATTTTATTTACTTGATGATGTGTACAAATGACAAGTTTGAGTAGTTTGTGATTAAGATATTTATATCCAGTTTATTAGTCGGGAAATGTTAGATTCACAAACAAAATTTTTACAAATTTCACAAACTAACTACTCCTTCCGTCCTAAAACTATCTTCCCAGTTACTATTCACACGGTCAGACTTAAATCAATTTCTTTGCCTATTTTCTTTAGTTATTTGATAAAATAATATAATCTTGTCATCTCTTATTTTATAGAACTTTTGATGTAATTTTTAAATATATAATTTTTTAAAATTTTATACCTACAATCAAATAAATTGAATTGAAAATAAAGTCGGTCAAACCTCGTAAACACAAACAAGAAGATGTTTTTAGGACGGAGGGAGTATTTGTGATCTTTAATAAAAATGAAGTAGTCTAAAATAAATTTTAAATGAGAATTTAAGGCATAAATGATAAATTTGTGAAATTTGTAACCATTTTGTTTATGAATATAGCATTGCTCTTATTAGTCTTCTTCATAATTTTTTTTTGTAGTCGGTAGGCGTTGCACAATTGGCAAGACAACGGGTGCCAAGGGGGTAAGACCTGAGTTCGATTCTTGACAACTGCGCTGGAAGAAAATTATGCTTAGCATAGAGCCTCTGCAACTACTACTCTGCAAGTACTAGGTGTAGACTTTTGCGATTAGAGTCTAATTTACCTCCTCTCAGTAACCATCCGGTCGAATCTGAGGGGGCCCTCAGAGACGGGGTTCATCCTTTTTTCATCATTTTTTGTCACATATATTCATAAATTATCACAAACATTCGTATTTGAGTAATTGATTGAAATCAAACAAATTTCAAAAGGTGTTTTTTGAAATAAGTGATAACCTATGATTTCTTGAAAGAATATAATGACTAAATTAAATTCAAGTCGGGAATAAAAAGAGGGACTCATAAAAACACTTTAAATTTAATTTGATGTGAGAAATTAAAAGTGGTTGTTTGACTTGTTTTTTTAAAAAGGCAAATAAAAGCAACCTGCTTACGACTTTAAGAACATTCTTTTTATTTAAAATTTTAAAACTACGTAATACTTATTTTTTTATTCATGTAAATTGGTCGTGATTCTCTGACTTATTTGTTGAGTACTACTGTAGCAGTGATGAAAAAAGAAAATAAGTTTTGCATATTTTTAAAATTAATTGTTTTATAATGATTTTAAGACACAAATGTGAAATAAAGACTTTTTTCATACTTCCTCCGGTTCTAAAAAAGCTTTTTTTGTTTTGATTTTTTTGTCAAACAGTGACATTCATTGATTATAAATTGTGAAAAAAATAAATTTAATTGTAATAAAAATTTAATGTAATTGGGTTTATCTAAAGACATAATTTTGATACATCAAATTTTTATATCATTTATTTGTTTAGATTGAATTTAATTTATGGTCAAATAGTATCTCTGTTTAACAAGAAAAGTCAAAACATGAAAAAATTTTAGAACTGGAGAGAACATATTTTTAGGGACTCATAGTTAGATTTTTTTACAAAACCCATTATATGATCATTTTATATATTAAGATTCATAAAATTGCTACTCTAGCAATGGTGAAAAAAAGAAAATTAGTTTTGCATATTTTTTAAATTAATTGTTTTATACTCCGTATTAATCTTAAGATACAAATGTGAAATACTCCCTCTCATCCTAAAAATGTTATTTGTTTTGACTTTTTTCGTCTAACAGCGACACTCATTGATTATAAATTGTGAGAAAAATAAATTTAATTACTCCGTATAATATAATTGGATTTATCTTAAGATATAATTTTGATATATCAAACTTTATATCATTTATTTATTTAGAATATGTTTAAATTATAGTTAAAGAGTGCCACTTTTAACAAAAAAATCAAAAAATGAAACTTATTTATGACGGGAAGGAATATATTTTTAGGGACTAATAGTTTGTATTTTTTATAAAACACAATATATATAATCATTTTATATATTAAGATTCATAAAATTGATCGAGTTGAGTTTAGGAGAGGCACAATTATTTGCCTCTTTTTTTGAATCTATACTCAATATTTGGTGAACTGAGAAATTTACCTAAATAGGACTAAAATATAATGACTTTCCCAATATATGACTATATGTTTTTATTTACCAATGTAGGACCTTTGGTCATTATGAAGTAGTCATTATTCAAGTAAAT